CATTTACTTCATAAATGAATACCATATGATCTTGAGCACAAGTAGCCAAAAGAAGTTTACCATTAGAAGAAGTAACTGAAATATCTCTAATCCAATCTTTATGGTCTTTAAGTTGACTGACACACTTCCATTCACCATCAATACATTCATGGAATTTAACAATACTATCACAACCACCACTAACAATATTAACTTTCATATGATTTGATATTACAGTTAATGTATTTACTCCTGCAGGGTGAGCATTAAAAGAAGTTGTTTTCCATGATTTAGTTGATTCAATATACTCAATAATACTAATTTGTCCATCACTTGATCCACATGCTAATTTTAATCCCTCATTCTCAGGGAAGAAACAAATAGAATTGACTGATTTAGTATGGAATTTATGAGAATAAACAACAGCATAATTATTGTTGGAAGTTTCTCTCCAAATTAATACTTGTTTGTCATAACCACATGAAGCTAAAACAGGTCCAAATCTTGGATGACTCCATTTGACTTGCCAAACAGCAGCAGTGTGTCTAAAAATGAATTAGTTCTATTGTGTATAAAATAAATAATACAAACCCCACAAGTGTTGAGATAATTTTTGGTTCTGGTTGTGTTGTGTCAAAGATTACAATTGATTTGTCTTCCATTACACAAGCAACTTTTGTTCCATAAAAATCAAATTCCATATCTTCCTATTTTGTTATTTTTTTTTCTTATTAAATTACTAAAAAGAATATTATTAACATACTATATTTTCACTAGTTGTGAATCTCTGAATATCTGCCTAAAACCAATTAATTTTCTTTTCTTTTCCTTAAATTAATCAATTCATCACCAACAAACCATTTCTTCTATCTAATTAATCATTTCTAAGATCCTTGTTTTTTTCTTTTTTATATTTTTCTCTCTTTTCAGTAATAAATTAAATAACAAAAATTATAACAAAAACTTTTTTAATTACATAATCGTAAAGTAACAAAGAGACGACCCCCATTACTAAATTCAATCCACTGACTAACATCTTTGTTATAACTTAAATGGTTTGTCTCAATTATAACAAATGCCTTATAAACACTACTCTTTACTATGAACGTTTCATAATATTCGAATAAAATCATTGGGCGTTGAGAAGGAACAATGTTAATAGAAAAACAATCAGAGAATTGAGGAGTACTTGTTTTTTCTGTTGAGCTCTGAAATTTTTGATCTCCACATTGAACAATAATAAATCTCCCTTGACAAATTTGTACTTCTGATAAGTTTAATGTAAGCTTTGTGGATTTCTCAAATTGAGCTTCTCCCAAACGAACAGATATTTTCATCCTTACCTTTTTTTAAGTTTCATGTTATTTTAGTTTTTATTTTAATCATTTTAAAGAAAATGGAATATATACCATAAATAAATTTTTACAAAAATTATCAGTTCCAAAAATAGTCATTGATTTAAATATTTTTTCTAATTGAAGAGTGAAATAATTCAATCTTAAGATTAAAAAAAACCTGAAAATAGAGGCTTAAATAAAAAGAAGAGAAATGAAATAAAAAACAATAAGGAAGAAAGGATAAAAGAAGACAATATTTTTTAACGTCAAATGAACTTGAAATCAATCAAATAATGACTGAAGAACAAATAAATAATCTTAAGAAAGGAGAAACACTTGAAGTTACTCAACCCGATGGGACTGTAATTATTATTGAAGGAAACCCCTGTGTGAGATGTGGAAAAAATATTGTTGGTGAAATTGTTGAAGTGGATGAAGGTGCATTCCATCCAGGTTGTTTTACTTGTTCAGAGTGTGGATGTAATTTACTTGAAGAAGAAGATTATTGTGAAGATGATGGAGAAGTTTTTTGTAGTGACTGCTATAAAAACCTTTGTGGACCACGGTGTTATTATTGTAAACAACCAATAGAAGACACTGCAATTGAATTTAATAATAGAAAATATCACCCAAATCATTTTGGATGTTTTGTATGTAAAGCAGCATTAAAAGGAAAGTCATACAAAGATATTGGAGGTGAACCTTATTGTCAGGATTGTGCCCGTAAAAAGGTTGAACAAGAAAAACGAAAAGACCTTTGCTTTAAATGTGGAGAGCCAATTGTTGGAGATTATATTATTATTAATGGTATGAAATGTCATCCTGAACATTTCAAATGTGCAATTTGTCAATCTGAGTTTACAGGAGGAAGTTCTATTGAATACCTTGGAAAGAGATATTGTCTTGCTTGTTATAAGAAAGTATCTGCATCTATTTGTGAGAAATGTAAAAAGCCAATTTCTGGACGTTCTGTGCAAGCATGTGGATTTATGTATCACCCAGAATGTTTGACATGTACTGAATGTGACTTACCACTAACAGGTGTTTCATTCCTTGAACATGATGGTAAGCCATATTGTAATTTCCATTATTACAAGTTATTTGGACAAGTATGTGAAAAATGTGGTAAAGTTGTTCATAGTGGAGAAGGTGTTATTGTAGGAGATAAAACATTCCATAAAGAATGTTTCGTTTGTTCACAATGTAACAAATTGATGGATCCAAAGAAAACTAAAATATATGAAAATAATCCAATCTGTGTTTCATGTTATAATAAACTTCCAGGAGATGTTAGATATGCTATCGAAGAAGAAGAAAGAGAGGCAAAAAGGGTTGAAGAAAAAAGAAAGAAAGAACAAAAGAAACAACAAAAAGAAGAAGCAAAAGCAGCCAAGAAAAAAGAAAAAGAAATTGAGGCTCAATTAAAGAAAGCAAAAAAGGCTGAAAAGAAGAAATAAAAAAAAGAAAACAGTTTTTAATTAAATTTTCTTTTTTATTTTATAGACAGAACTTTATTTTCAGAAAGAAAAGGGATGAAACATCCATTTTTATGTAACGAAGAAATAATTAATTTTGAAGAACTAAAACCAGAATGTATTGCCAGTGATATTGAAGAAGGTATTAAAATATGTAAAGAAAATATACAAAAAATAAAAGAAATTCCAATAAATCAAAGTACATTTGAAAATACAATACGTTCATTTGATAATGCAATAATTCCACTAAAAGATATAATGTATAAAATTAATATATTAATTTTATGTAGAAGTGATATTAAAGAATATTCAATTATAAGTGAAGAAATATTTTCAAAAGAAGTTTCATTTAAATCAAGTATTTATACAGACAATGAGCTATTTAAATTAATAGAACATAATTATAAACAAAAAGAAATATTAGAATTTGACCAAAAACAGTTAGTAGAAAAAATTTATAATGATTTTATTGATGGAGGAGTTCAACTAAATGATGATCAAAAAAATAAAATTATTCAATTAAAAGAAGAGATATTTAAATTAAGTAAGAAGTATTTAAGTAATGTAATAAATGATACAGATAATTATTCATTATTAATAGAAGATAAAAACCAATTAGATGGTATACCATCTAATATTTTAGAATATTATTTTAATGAAGCTCAAAAAAGAAAATTAAAAGGTTATTTAATTACTCTTCAAAGATCCTCTTATTTACCTTTAATTAAGTATTGTAAGAATGAAGAAATTAGAAAAGAAGTATTTATACAATATAACAGTCTTTGTAGTAAAGGTGAGTATGACAATACTAATATTATTAATAAGGTATTAGAAAGAAGACAAGAGATTGCTAAAATACTTGGACATTCAAATTATTCAGAGTATATAACTAAAAGAAGAATGATTAAAAATAGTCAAAATGCAATGAATTTTATTGAGGACTTACATAATAAAATATTACCATTTTTTAAAAAAGAAGTAGAAGAAATAATAAAATATAAAAAAGAACAAACAGGAAATAGTAAATTAAAACCATGGGATATTAATTTTTATATTGAACAAATAAAACAAAAACAATTAAGTTTTAATGAAGAAGAAATAAGACAATATTTTCCAGAACCAATTGTATTTAAAGTATTATTTGAAGTTTATAAAAGATTATATGGAATTACTTTTTGTTATAATAAAACAGTAAAAGGATGGCATAAAGATGTTAAGTACTATGACATCACTAATTCAAATAAAGAACGATTAGGTGGAGTTTATTTTGACTTATATTCAAGAAAAGGAAAAAGAGCAGGTGGATTTCATGACATTCTAAGAACAAATTATTTAAATGAACAAGGAATAGTTATTAAACCATTAGGAGTGGTTGTGTGTAATTTTTTACCACCAAACAATGATGGTATTTCATATTTTAGTCATAGTGAATTAGAAACATTATTTCATGAAAGTGGTCATCTTATGCATACAATTCTTTCTAAACAAAGGTTTGCCTCATTAACTGGAATGAATGTGGAATGGGATTTTGTAGAATTACCAAGTCAAATTATGGAAAATTGGATATTTGAAAAAGAAGTTTTTCATTTATTTAATGAAATTGGTGGAATAAAAGAAATTCCCCCAAAAATTTATAATAAAATAATTCAGTCAAGAGTATTTATGTCAGCATATTATATGATGAGACAACTTAAATTTAGTAAAATCGATTTAGAATTACATCAAAATTATATTCAGTCCAACCTTCCTTTAGACGACTTTATTGCTTTGGTTACTGAAAATTATGACTGTCCTTTCTCTTCTCCTTCTTTATCTATTATTCGTCATTTTAGTCATTTATTTAATTTGACTTATTGTTATGCAAGTGGTTATTATTCTTATAAATGGGCTGAAATTCTTGAGGCTGATGCTTTCGAATTATTTAAAGAAAATGGCATCTTTAATCATCTCATTGCAACTAAGTTTAAAACTTCTATTCTTGAAATGGGTGGTTCTAAACCAGCAAATGAATTGTTTAAAGAATTTAGAGGAAGAGATCCTGATCCATCTGCTTTATTAAAGAAACTACATTTAATTAACTATTAAACTGGTTATATATATCAAAAATTTTAAAAACAAAAAAGAAGCTTAAAATCAACAAAATAATGAAAACCTTAAAAAAAAAAAAAAAGAAAAAAGGGTTTCTCTATCTTCAAAAAAACAAAAGAAAATGAATAACCCTCAGTTTGCAACCCTTCAACGAATTGTTAGTCAAGAACCATTACATCCAACACAAAACATACCAATTGAAGTAAAAATGGAACAAAGTCCTATGATTGTATCAACTGATTTAGAGACATTGTGTAGAAAGAAAGTATTAGAAGATATATGTGAATATTTAATGGATCAAGACATAGAATGTGGATTATTTAATCAACTAATTCAAAATGAGTATATTAATCCAGACGAATTGTCACAAAATTATAAAAAGAAAAGAACATTAAAATATGCATTACAAATAATTAATGGAATTGATCCAAATTGTCCACAAGTAGAATCTTTAGGAAAAATATCAGAATGTGTTATTCAACTTTTTCAAGAAGACTCAAAAAGTGAAATATTAAAACCATTACCTTCACTAATTGGACTTACTGGAATGATTACTTTGTTTTATCAATACGTTTCTAAAAAAGTTCAAACTCAAGCAATGTGGGATTGGCTCGATTTATTACTTCCTGCATTGTCACAACTTCCTTATTTAAAAACAAGTCGTTCATGTAGTGAAGAAGCAATTGATATATTATCAGAAACTGAAATACCAGATAATTTAACTAATCCTGAAGATTTTCTTATGAGAATTACTTCTATTCATCAAATTATTGCAAGGTATCCAGTTATTGCAACACTTGAACATATTAAAACTCAATTAGAGAAATATCAACAATCATTAAGTCCAAGTTTAGTTCAGCAATTAATTTATCAGTATTATGCAGAACCTGTTAAATTACCTGTTGGACTATATGATAATAAAGTAGATGATTTATCTTTAACTAATAAAGTTAATAAAAAGAAAAATGAAAAAGTTAATAAACCAGTACGTCAACCAGTTGATGAAAATGGTCAAATAATTAAAAAAAAGAAAAGAAGATTCACTGAAGAAGAAACACAAAACTTAATAGAAGGGGTTCAACAATTCGGTATTGGTCATTGGAAATTAATTTTAAATAATTTTAAATTCGATGATAGAAGTTGTGTTGATTTAAAAGATAAATGGAGAAATCTTGAATTCTCTAGACTTAGAAATAATAAACAAAAATCAAATGAACCTATTATGGCTCATCCTAATAATGAACAAGAAAAAAATACACTCCCGTCAGTTGGAAATGCCTTAATTCCTCCTAGTTTAATGTCTGATGGATTTAAACAATTGGATCTTTCTCAATAACAACAAAAAGTAAATCAATTTTCTGTTATTTATTGAAATAACAAAACTGATGTGTATAAAAAGAAAAATAATTTACTTTTTTATGTTATTTTATGATTTAAAGAAAATTGAAAAAAATGAAAATAGTTAGTAAAAAATAAATAAATGAAAAAAGTAAAAATTAAAAGTAATGAGATCAAAAGATCTTAAAAGTAAAGAAATTAGATGCGAGGAATTATTGGTTTATTATTATGTATTGGAGTACTTGGTCAAAGTAATTACACAACCATTAAAACTATGGAAGGAAATGTATATATCTCTAATATAGAAGACTTATCATTTACAATGGATGGACAATTATATTATGATGGACCAAATGGACAAATGGTTACAGTCTTTAAAGAAATAAATCATGTTGATGCAGTATTTAGAGATAATGGTGAACGATATTATTCATATCATAGATTAAATTATTCATCTAATATATTAAATAGAACACATGCAGTATTTTACAATTTAACTTATGACATTAGTGTACAATTAAGAACATTATTTATTAATAGTGAACATTGTACTGAATATAAAGGAGTTTCTCCATATCTTGATTATGTTTATGTTTCTAGTGAAACAGGTAAAATATGTCGTATCTGTTTTGAGACAGGTAAATGTATTACATTTAGAAACTATGGTGCATTGTCAGAACGTGGTAAAAACGAGATAGAAAAATATATTGAACAGACAACCAGTCAATCAACAAAAAATACAGGAAGACAAGCAAAGATTTTATTAGTGATTGACCCTAACTTTGGTGGTACGGAAGATGCATTTACTGGTGCTAAATTAGATTTATTAAATAGTTTAAGAGATCTTGCTTTGGCAAAGACTAAAGAAGGAAGTACTACTGTAGAAGTTGGTGTTATGAATTACGATGGAACTAAAGTTGCTTTTACTAGTGATTTTAGTCAAATAGAAAATTCATTAGCCACTCTTAAATATGCATCATCAACTAATGACGCACCTATTCAAGAAGCAGCTAATATGGTTAAAACATATACTGGAAGTATGAAAGGAAGAACTATTATTATTTCATTAAATAGAGATACAGAAAATATGAAAACATTAGTTACTAAATATAATACTACTCTCAGAGAAAATGATATTACATTTTATAGTATTTCTTATGATTCTGCATCACCAAAAGATAGGATTAAATACGAAAAACTTTATACTACTGTTAAAACTCAATTATATTTCTTCTTTTCAAGTAGTGGAAATGATTTACTTAATGGACTTATTGTTGATCCTGTTATGCATTTAGCAACTCGATTCCTTTCTAACCATATGTGTAAGAGTTGTTATGGATACTGCCAATTAAATGGAAATGACACAACAGAATTAACTTGTAAATTAAAATCTCCAGATGATAAAGAAGCAATTGAATCAACTTATTTTGTTAATGGATGTGATTATGGAACAACAACAGGATTAGTTTATAAAATTATTGGAGGTATTGGAATGTTTGCGTTAGTAGTTGTTGCATTAATAGAGTTATTATTAGTTTTATTACAAAGAATTTTATGTGGATTATCTCGAAAGAATGCTACATATCAAACTCTTGAAATTAATGTTGCAACTCAAAGTTCTTTATATGAAGCTGAAGATAATGAATCACAAAATTCTTTATTCCAAGAGTAGTAAATTAAATTATCTTTCTCCATCATTCTTTTTTTATTTAATGTTTTTTTATAACTAATTTATATTTAAAATGATGTTATAATTTTATTTATTATATTAATTTAATAAAAGAAATAACATTTTTATAAATTATTATTTAATTTTTATTTCTTTCAAACATTGGAAGTAAAAGAAAAAAAAATAAAAAACAAAAGTTATATAAAGAAATAACATTTTTAATAAAAAAAGAAAAAAGAAAAAAAAGAACTAAGAAAGAATAAGAAGCAATGAACTGCATTGAAGATAAATGTATTGTTGCACATCATATAATTGATCAATTAAAACAAAATAAAGTAGACGACTATAACATATTTGATAATCATAAAAAAACATTACTATCAATATGTGAATATTTAATTGATTCAGGAATTAATTGTGAATTATATGAACAATGTTTAAATCAACAAATATTTGCTGAGTCAGATATTCCACAAGAATTACATAATAAAAGAGCATTAGCAACGGTAATAAATTTTTTTGAAAATATTGAACCATTTAATATTGAAATAGAAAATTTACCAAAAATTATTTCAAATGTAATTCAAATATATTGTTCAGACCCAAATGCAGAAATACTTAAAACAATTCCATCATTAATAGGAATTATTGGAATGATTTCAATATTTCATTTATATTCTAAATTTCAAATACAACAAGGAGAACTTATTCGTCATATAAATATTTTACTTCCTGAGAGTTCAGAACAACCATATGTTGCGTCTTCAAGAAAATATTGTTTAGCAGCAATTAAAGCACTTTTACAAACACCGATAAAAGAAGGAATATCAGACTCAAATGAATATCTTCAAAATATTCAAGAAGTTAAATACATTCTATCAAGATATCCATTAATTAGAACTATAGACCATATCAAACACTTATTATATCAATTTAAAGAAATATGTCCTACTTCTACTTTAAGAAATGTTTTTTATAATTATTTAAATGGTAAAATCGTTTCTAAACCTTTCTCTTGGCCTTCTACTGATTTTATTTCTATAAGAGAAATTCAAACAGCAATGGAATTAGATTCTACTACATTTCAAGCAATTGTTTTTGGTGAAGACCCTAAAGTAAAAGCTTTTTTACATCAACAGTCATCTGATTTAATTGAAAATTATCAAAATCAATATATTCATCAACTCACTGAACCTCATATTCAACAACAACAATTATTACAACTTCAACCCAAAACCAAATTAGATAAAGATGAAAAGTCTAAAAAAAAACCTTCTTTAAAATTACATGACAATTCTTCTATTAAAACTGATGATGTAACTGATCATAATAAATTAAAAAAAAAGAAAAGAAGATTCACTGAAGAAGAAACACAAAACTTAATAGAGGGGGTTCAACAATTCGGTATTGGTCATTGGAAATTAATTTTAAATAATTTTAAATTCGATGATAGAAGTTGTGTTGATTTAAAAGATAAATGGAGAAATATTGAAAATTCTAGACTTAGAAATAATAAACAAAAAATTCCTACTTCTCAAATTTCTCAATTTAAATCAAATGGAACAATATTACCTCCTTTTAATTCTGATAATTATTAATGATTTATTGTAAAGAAAATTTATAAAAAATGAAAGATTTTATTTAAAAAAGATCATTTTTCATTTATTGTTGTTTCTTTTATTTTTGTTTTATTTAATGTTTTGAAGCATCTCATCTACAGATAATCCCCATGCTTTTGGCCATGATTCAATATATTTGCAAATACAATTTACATTAAATTCAAGTTGTTCTGGAGTATCATTTTGTAACATCCAAACTAATTTATGTTGATAGCTTTCCATTGCTTCATCATAACAAATTTGAAATATTTCACAATCAATATTATTTTCAATTTTGTTTGGTTTATATCCCCTATTCATTTTAATTATTCTATTCTTTTAATTATTTTGTTATAACAAACTTATTGACTAATCTATCATACAACACAGTATTATCTGTTCTTAATACAACTATTAAATCAAACCATCTCTCTGGAAATAATTCTGATGAATGATATTCTAATAAAAAATTATTGTTTTTTTGAATTTCTTCTAAGTAATCTAATAACTATTTTATTTAGTATTTCTTTTTAAGAATAATTAATTTATTTCATTTCATCCCTTTTTTTAAACAAACTTTATCTTCGTCTAAAATGAGTGTGTCCATTTCTTCGTCTCTTCCTTCGTAAAATCCATATTGCTTTACTACATCACCTACATTAACATAATTCATATCTGTTCTTTCGGCTATCATAGAGCATACTAAACTCTTTCCGGTTCCTGGTGTTCCTGTTACAAGAATATTAGGTTTAGGTCGATTACCTGTTGACATTATTAACTCCTCATTTTAAAGTGAACCCTTAAAAAATTATCTTTTTGTTAGTTTTCATTTTCTTCATCTTATTGTAAACTTTTTTTATTCATTTTTTTCCTAACTTATAGAAATTATTTGCTTATTAATTTAGAATTGAAACAATTTATTTTTAGTTCAAACAATTATGTAGTATAGTAAATTGTTTAATATATTTTAACTTTCATTACTATTTTTTAAAAAAAAAAAGAAAAAGAAGAACTAAAAAATAAAAAATCATAATATGAAATTGTTTTTAATTGCATTCTTATTATTTGCTGTAAATGCTATTGAAGAAGATACCTTTGAAGTCAATGAAAACAATGACTTTGAAGATTATGAATTAAATGAAGACGTTGATGAGTTAAATGAAGAAGATAATGAAGAGGACGAGATTAATTTAGATGAGGAAGAAGAAGAAGATGATGATGATACTGCTGATGAGTATGAACTAACAGATGATGATGATGAGGATAGAAGAAGAAGAAGAAGACGTTACAGAAGATATAGACCAAAAAGAAGACATCACCATAGAAGACATTTCAGAATACATCCATGGAGAAGATTTAGAATATGGAAGAAACATCACCACAGAAGACATCCATGGAGAAAGCACCACCATAGAAGACATTCATGGAAAAGATATAGACCAAGGAGAAAACATCATCAAAGGAGATTGTCATCTAAAGAGAGAAAGAAGGCACAATTAAGAAGAAGAATGTTAAAGAAGAAGATGACTAAAAAGAATATAATGAAATTTTTCAAGAGAAAACAATATCAGTCTAAAAAAATATCTAAAAAACAAGTCAAAAAAGCAGCAAAAATATTATTGAAAAAATATTCAAAAATTTTAGCTCGTAAAAACAATCATAAAAGAACATCTAGAAAACAAATTGCACAAGCTAAAAAAATGGTAAAAAAAATTAAAACAATTCTTTCTGGAAAATATGGAAAAACATATTCTGCTGGTATTATTTCAGCAGCAGCTAAAAAAATAAGTAAAGTTAAATTAGTTGCATATAAAAACATTGAAAATTGTTCATGTGATGTATTAAAGGAAAATAAAAAAAGATTACATCGTATGAGAAAAGAGTATATTGATATGAAAGAAGAACTTGCTGTATTAAAAGAAAGAATTCAAAGTGAAAAAGATAAATTTATGGACGCACAATTATTTGCTGATTATAAAAAAAGAATTGCTAAACTTGAAAATCAAAATTCATTAATTTCTTTGTCCCATAAAAAGTGTCAAACCCAATTAAAACTTGCAAGTAAAAAAACTCAAATTATTCTCACTAAAAAAGCTCAAAAAGTTATTACCAAAGCTAAAAAAGTTGCTAAAAAAGCTATTTTAAAAGCTGGTACTAACATTAAGGCTATTAAAAAGGCTCAAAAAGTGTTAAAAAAAACTATTGCTAAAGTTGTTTCAAAAAAACAAGCTAAAAAATTGACTAAAAAAGTCGTCCAAAAAGTTCTTAAAAAGGAAAAAATGCCAAAGAAATTATTAAACAAAATTGTTAAAAAAGCAATGAAATCTCAAAAAGTAGTTCAAAAGTCTCAAAAAAAGACTATTAAAAAATGTCGTTTAATTATGAAACATTTAAATCAAAAAGTTCACACTATTAATGTATGTGCTGTTAAATCAGGTGCTAAGTGTGTTCAAGACCAAGCTTTAGTTAATCGCTTGACTGATAAAATTTATAACAATTTAGTTAATGGAACTAAAAACTAAATCATTTTTAATCCAATTATTATTTTTTGTTTTTCTTTTTATTAGGAAAAATTATTTTTGAGTTATTTTTTTTAATTTGTTGAAAATATCATTTTATTTTGTTTTATTGACTGTTTATTTCTTTAGTTTAAAAATTTAAATTATTTGTAATACTGTTATTTAAATTAAATTCTATTAAGGTATAGATAATAGTATTTTATTTTTGTTTTTCTCCTTTAGCATTTGTTTATCAAACTTTACAATTGTCTGTTTTATTAAATTTTTTTATTTGTATTTCAAATAAAGCATATTTAATTAATTTAAATTACAATGATTCATTTTGGTATAAATAATATTTCTCATCAAGTGCATTTAATATTCCTTTATGTTCAAATGAATGTTGATTACAGTATGATATCGTTTTATTATTTTATTTATAAACACGAATATCATCTCCATATTCAAATGAAAACAAATCATTATCTGATTGATTGCATAATTTAAATGTATATTGTGGTTGATTAATATCAAATTTCATCATTCTTTTTATTGTTCTTTTTGATTTTAATGAAATAAAAATGATTTTTGATCATTTGTCATTCTACTAACTTTATCAATTTTACAATTAACATATCCTCCAAATTTATTTCCATTTGTATCTTCAATAATGATTATTATATTTTCTTTATTTATTATTATTTGTTCAAATATTGATGTATTCTTATTCCAATCATCAATATCTGAATCAAATATATATTTGATACTTATTTCTTTTGTAACACATTTAATACGTTTATTATTTTAATTAATTTATCATTAACTGTTTTATTTGTTAGTGTTCTTGTTCATATTCTTTTTGTTGTTTATTTTTAAGTTTTTTATTTCAAATTCATTTTTTTCTTAACTTTTAATAAACAAAAATATAAGATAATTAGCAAATAATATAAACAATTCATTTTTATAATATTTTAATATATTGGTCAACTAACTATTCTATTTTATTGTTAGTATGTGAAAATAAATATGTTCAAATTATATTATCTAAATGTTTACTCTTATCATTCATCAATAACAATTTATCACATATAATTTTTATGATATCTTATAACCATTGAAACATTAGTAATAAGTATTAAATTTGATACTGATAAATAAAATTAATAGCATTATTAATATCTTTAAAAGTTGTAAAATAACCTTTTAAATGATTTAAAATATTAAACTATTTAATTTATTAATTTGTTAATCATATGAACAGATATCAAAAAATATGATAAACTTATTTAAAAACAAGTTATGAGTAAGCATTACCATGGTAGTAGTATGGTAAATAAAATTAAATATGAGTTAAATATTTCTTTCATGTTCAAAAGACATA